AGAAACGCCAGAGGAGAGCTATTAGTAGAATTTGCAGAACGCAATAATTTACGGATTTTCAATTCCTTCTACCGAAAACGAGGAAACCGCAAGTGGACATGGAGGATCCCTAATGGCGAAAATAAGAACAAAATAGACTTTTCAATGAGTGCACACCCAGGCATCGTGCAGGATGTGGAAGTGGTTGGCAAGATACGATGCAGTGACCATAGAATGGTACGGTCTCGAATTCGCCTAGACTTGAAGGAACGACAGAAACTGATACGCAAGAAGCCAATCAATAAGCTAGCACTGAGAGGGAAAGTACAGGAATTCAGAGTCTCGCTTCAGAACAGGTACTCGGCTCTTAGTGAGGAAACCAACCCTAGCGTAGATACAATGAATGATAATCTGACGAGTATCATTACGGATTGTGCAGTAGAAGTTGGAGGCAGGGTAGTTAGACAGGACACTGTCAAGCTTTTCCAGGAAACGAAAAATCTCATTAAGAAGCGTCAAATCATGAAAGTCTCAAGTACAACAGACAAAACAGAACTGGCAGAGCTTGCAAAGTTGATTAATAGGCGTAAGGTATGGGATGTAAGAAGGTATAACATAGAGAGAATTGAACACGCTCTGAAAAACGGAGGAAGCGTCAAAGCAGTGAAGAGGAAACTTGGGATAGGCAAAAATCGGATGTAGGCACTAAGGGACAAAGAAGGCAAAATAACTACTAATATGGATAGGATAGTTAAAATAGCGGAGGAGTTTTACAGAGATCTGTACAGCAGCCGGGAACACCACGACTTTAATACTATAACTCCTTCAATGATTACTTTCAATCAGTTATTGCCGTAGATTACGGAATCGTACCACCCATACAATCTTCAGATCATTCACCAATAGAACCCTTGACAATTACCGAGCAAGGCGTGCTCAATCTTCTAATAAATATCGATACCAAGAAGGGCCCGGGACCTGACAACATATCAAACATGTTCCTTAAAAGGTATGCAGAATAGGTAGCTAAATATTTAAGTGTAATCTTCAATAAATCACTACAATCATGCACTATCCCCACAGTATGAAAAACCGAAAAATTATACCAATACACAAAGCAGGCAGAAAAACAATGGTTTCAAATTACAGGCCAACATTACTAAATTGTTCTGTGTGCGAATTGTTAGAACATACGATATTGAAACACACAAGTATTTATCTAGAAAAAAATCATATCCTGTCTCCTGTACAACATGGTTTCTAAAAAGGCTTTTCAACGGTTACTCAACTTTTAGAATTATTACACGATGCAGCCAAGTGCATTGATAACCATAAACAAATTGACCTCATCTTCTTAGACTTTTCAAAGGCATTTGATCGTGTTTCTCATACAAAATTAATAAGTAAATTAGAAGTTACTCTTGGAGATAGCACCATTCTTCGCTGGATTAAGGATTACTTAACCAATCGCTCACAATTTGTACAGTTACAGGACGCCACCTCTAGAATAGCAGCAGCCACTGTATTAGATTATGCCAGCCCTGTCTGGTTCCCGTATAGCCACCAACAGATTAATAAAATAGAAGCGGTTCAAAGAAAAGCATTAAGGTTTATTTTTAGCAAGTATAGACTGCAGGAATCACCGACGCACCTACTCAATAACGCTGGCATTTTAACACTACAAATCCGAACAAAACTAACAAGACTAAAGCTAATGTTTCATTTACTCCACAACATAATAAAAATATATACGTAAAGGTATCTATCTTTTTTTCACGGCAGACCAACCCGTCATAATCGTTCCCATACTCTTGTAGAATACTCTATTAACACTAATTGCTTTAAATACTCATTTTTTCCTCTAACTATTAAAGATTGGATTTCGCTGAAACCCACCTTAAACACTGAATCATCCATAAACTTGTTTTCAGCTGCGATTGGAAGCGAATTGCTTGCCTCGCTAATCGTACCAGTAGTACATCACATCATCATTATACAAAATAAACGAGTCAGTGTCATATTGCTAATACATAAGTTTAGTTTTTATGATTGTTATTTTCAAGTGACATGTTTTTCGATTAGTTTTTTGTTCTTAAAATTATTTGAATAATTTGTTCAATAAAAGTGCCTACTTGTTTTCCCTACCCGATATTACACATGCATGCATTATCTTTTCGCGGTCGTTCTCAACGATAACCTAGTTCATGATTATGTTTTGCTATTACTAAAATTGTTTGATTACGTGTTCTTTAACGGCATTGTATAACCTATGATTTGCATGTCATTTTGTAATACCGGCTTTTTTGTGTTTTCTATCAATGTGAATCTGTGTAAACAAATATTAGTTTTCATTTGCCTTCTCTGCTATAATCTCTGATGAGATTGGCAGTGTTGTTAAGTAAATAAAATAAATAAATAAATAAGAACTATCAGTAACCCAGATGACACCCCACCAGTAATGATAGAAGAAGTCAGAAAAGCTTTGGAGAGCATGCAAAGAGGCAAAGCTGCTGGTGAGGATCAGGTAACATCAGATCTGCTGAAAGATGGAGGACAGATTGTGTTAGAAAAACTAGCCACCCTGTTTACAAGGTGTCTCCTGAAGGGAAGTGTACCAGAGTCTTGGAAGAACGCTAACATCATCTTAATACATAAGAAAGGAGATGACAAGGACTTGAAGAATTACAGGCCGATTAGCTTGCTCTCTGTAGTATACAAGCTATTTACAAAGGTGATTGCTAACAGAGTAAAGAAAACTTTAGAATTCAATCAACCAAAGGAACAAGCAGGATTCCGAACAGGCTATATATTCAACAATTGGCGACATTCATACTATCAATCAGGTAATATAAAAATGCTCAGAATATAACCAACCACTATACATAGCCTTCATAAATTACGAGAATTAAGGCGTTTGATTCAATAGAAATATCAGCCGTCATGCAGACACTGCGGAATCAGGGACTAGATGAAGCTTATATAAACATCCTGGAAGAAATCTACAGGGGTCAACTGCTACCGTAGTGCTTCATAAAGAAAGCAACAGAATACCAATCAAGAGGGGTGTAAAGCAGGGGGATACAATTTCCCCAATGCTATTTACCACGTGCTTACAGGAGGCATTCAGAGGCCTAGAATGGGAACAGTTAGGGATAACAGTTAATGGAGAGTACCTTGGTAACCTGCGATTCACCGATGACATTGCATTGCTGAGAAACTCAGGGGACGAATTGCAACTCATGATTACGGAGTTAGACAAGGAGAGCAGAAAGGTGGGTCTTAAAATTAATCTGCAGAAAACGAAAGTAATGTACAACAACCTCGGAAAAGAGCAGCGCTTCGAGATAGGTAATAGTGCACTTGAAGTTGTAAAAGACTATGTCTACTTAGGGCAGGTAATAACCGCAGAGCTGAACCACGAGATTGAAGTAACTAGAAGAATAAGAATGGGGTGGAGCACATTTGGCAAGCACTCTCAAATTATGACAGGTAGATTGCCACTATCCCTCAAGAGGAAGGTATATAACAGCTGTATCTTGCCGGTACTTAGCTACGGAGCAGAAACCTGGAGACATACAAAGAGGGTTCAGCTCAAATTGAGGACGACGCAGCGAGCAATGGAAAGAAAAATTGTAGGTGTAACCTAAAGAGACAAGAAGCGAGCAGAGTGGATTAGGGAACAAACGGGGGTCAAGGATATCTTAGCTGAAATCAAGAAGAGGAAATGGACATGGGCCGGGCATGTAGCGCGTAGACAGGATGACCGCTGGTTATTAAGGGTAACTAACTGGATTCCCAGAGAAGGTAAGCGGGTTAGGGGAAGGCAGAAAGTTAGGTGGGCAGATGAGATTAAGAAGTTTGAGGGTATAAATTGGCAGCAGCAAGCACAGGACCGGGTTAACTGGCGGCACATGGGAGAGGCCTTTGTCCTGCAGTGGACGTAGTCAGGCTGCTGCTGCTGCTGCTGCTGCTGATGATGATGATGGGTGCTTTTAATGCGTACACCCGTAATACACCTTTTAGGGTGTAAAATTTTTTAGAGTGCACTACACCACCACGGTGGGGTGGAACAGCTGGCGTCGCGTTTGAGTAAACGCAATAACCTATAAGTATTCTTACTCGTACACTTTTACTGGGCTCGTAGGTTTTCCTGCCGATTGCGATTTTATCCACTAGTGGTGAAGCTCCGCATTTTTCGTTGCGGATGGAAATGTGTGCAATGGAAAAAGTTATTACGCTTGCGGAGGTTTTCTCATCCGAAGACCGTGCAGTGGTGCCCACACGACTTCTTGTAAGCGCGCTAGTTGGGGTCGCGCTTGAAGACACACAGTAAGTCTGCTTACTCGTGCATATTTATTAGGCTCCAAGTCTTTTCTATTCACCGCAGGTATCCATTGGCGACGAAGTTGGGCGCTTTTTGTTACGGATGGAAATCGGCGAAAGGTTGAAACACCACACCGGCACGATTCCCGCGATGCGCTGAGAAATTCACAGGCAGGTCTAAGCAGTCTCTTTCACTTGCGCTGGTTGTTGTTGCGTCCGAAGACGGCGCAGTCGTTACCAGATGACTTTTTATAAGCGGGCGCGGCGCGAACAGGCGCTTTTTCGCATTTCAAAGCCCCAGAGCCACTGCTTGCCATGCTAGCAAGGGACGCCTTGGCAGTTCAAAACAAACGATGTCGTCTCTGGGAGCGCGTGTATACCACTGAAGGCGCCTGGGTGCGAAATAGGCGTGCTCTCGTCTATATAGAAAGTCACTACCCCAATTCCATCTGCGAAAAAGTCTTTCTGAATCCCCTATTGTTAATCCGTTAAGTAAGTTCCACTATATACAAAATGCTAACCGAAGTGCTAAAGTGGGCTGCTTGCTCTTTCACAAGTGCCCACGAGAAAATGCGTACATAGAGCGCAGTAGTTAGAAGCAATTCTTAAGTTATTCATATTGTTAACATGAGCTGGCAACCGTAAATCTCTGTCACAAGTCGCCAACTGAGAGTTCTTAGTTATAGACAAAAGAAAAATAAACAACGAAATACTTGGTTTAATCAAAATACAACACAAATTGTTAAAAGCGACGGCCCTTCGGTCGCGGTGAACAGTGGTTGACAAAAACGAAAATGTTCAGAAAAAGTGGTGGCACTGTGTTCAGCCCATTACTCCAACGAATGGATGTTCATGACGCAACATAGGACAAACAGGCTGATGGCGATGCTGCTGCTGCTGCCCAAGCTCCTAACTTCGAAGACGCCACGAAAGCTTCCCACTGGGCTGCTGCGTGCGATTCTCTTGAGCTGAGCAGCCACCGCAGTACCATCCACAGTGCAGCATGCAGAGAGGTGGAGCCACTGAAACAGTGCGAAGCACAGTGTGAACCACAAACAGGGTCTATATACACTCACCAAAAACAACTCGAAAGGCGTCTCCTCCTCTCTCACAATCGGTGTATTCAAGCTTTCTCCGCCCATCTCTAAAAGTTTCCTGCACTTAATGTAGGTATGCATGACCGCAAGCGTGGGAGGCATTGTGCACTGCCCCTGTGGTCTTCAAACCTTTGACCAAGCGATGGTGGTGTGACGTCATGATGTGGCATCACATTCAGTAACGTCATGTCGATGATACGAAAATTTCTAATCAGCAACGTCATAATGGTGAAATCATGGGATCATTTCTGCATAACTCTTGTTGACACTGAGGCTGCCACGGGTTGCTGACGGTGATTTTGAATATCTGCATTTATTTATTTATTTGTGGAATACTGCAGGCCAAAAAGGCCCAAGCAGGAGGGGCACAAACACAACCACAAGATCAGTACACGAGTGACACAGCTTCACTAAAATACATCTGTGTAAGAGGAGAGCGAGTAGAAGAGAAACATCAAAACAAAGAAAGCACGCGATCAGTACATTAGTAACAAAGCTTGACTAAAATACATCTGTGTAAGAGAAGAGCGAGTAGAAGAGAAACATCGAAACAAAAAAAAATCAAGCAATATTGGGAGGGAGGGGGGGGGGGTCAAGATTCACAGAATAAAACATGGGGTTCATCAAGATCGAAGGTTTGGAGGAAATCAGAAGGCAAGTTATTCCATTCTGTTACAGTTCTCGGAAAAAAGGAAAACTTAAATAAATCTGCCCGCGCAAAATACGGAGTTAAAGATCGGACATGAGAATGACGAGTTTGCCTGGTCGAAACAGGGGTAACGTAATGTGATGGGTCTAGCCCTAGTTTATTGTTAATTAGTGAGTCCAAGAATTTTATACGGAGAAGCTGGCGCCGCGATTGTAGCGTCTGGAATTTGTTATCTCGCATTAGTTCAGTAACTGATGTACCACGACCATACTTCGAGTAAATAAAACGCACTGCTCGTCTTTGAATCTTTTCGAGGGAATATATGTTAGACTTAGTATGTGGATCCCATACAATACGAGCGTATTCAAGCTTTGGACGTATTAAAGTGTTATAAGCTAATAGTTTCACTTGCGACGGGGCGTCTCTGAGTTTGTGCCTTAAAAGACACAGTTTACGGAAAGCCGATGACGAAACATCGGCAATGTGTGCATTCCAGGACAACTTATTCGTTATCGTTATACCTAGGTATTTGTATTGACTGACTTCTTTTAAGGGTTGGCTTTTGGAGGAATAGGAAAACTGAAGGGGATTTTTCTTGTTAGAAATTCGAAGGCAAACAGATTTATTGAAATTGAGCACCATGCCCCATTTGTTACACCACGAAAGAATATTGTTAAGGGCAGTGTCGAGAGCGACCTGGTCATCTGGCGAGTGTACATCTGTGAAAATAATGCAGTCGTCTGCAAAAAATCTTATTTTAACCAGATCAGTAATAGCATTAACAATATCAATGCAATAAATTATAAACAGCAGCGGACCTAGAACACTACCCTGCGGTACGCCGGAATCTTCTGGGAGATGAGGTGATGTCTGTCCACAGACGTCGACATACTGTTTCCGGCCGTTCAGGTAAGCAAACACCCAGGATACTAGATAGTTTGGAAGCCCTATAGTCTGCAATTTCTCGATGAGCTTGTTATGGGGAACACGGTCGAAGGCTCTACTGAAATCTGAAAACAGTACATCGACCTGACCAGCTTTGTCTAAAATAGAAGCAATGTGATGAATAACTGAGACCAACTGGGTGACTTTGGAAAACCGTTTTCTAAATCCATGCTGAAAGGGAAATAAAATGGGGTTATCATCTAAGAAGCTGTTTAGACGCGTGGCAATTATATGTTCTAGCATTTTGCAACATGCGGAAGTCATAGAAATTGGACAGTAGTTTGGTATGCCCTCTGGGTCCCCCTTTTTCACAAAGGGCAGAACACGTGCCAATTTCCAATCGATGGGTAAAGTTGCTGAACTTATTGAGGCTCGGAAGATCACAACAATGTACTTGGCCAATATTTCGGCTTATCGCCGGAGAAATGCATTGGGTATGTTGTCTGGTCCAGGGGTTGATTTAACTTTTAATCGCAGCAGTAAATTTAGGACACCATCGAATGAAATGAGGTTGGGATCTGAATCAGAAGCGTCAATGCTAATTGAGACAGTCAGGGTAGAAGTTGAAAAAAACGCTATGAAAATAGTCGTTGAAATTTTTCGCGATCGTTTGGGGATTGTCAATTATAGTGCCGTTAAACTTGATTCGGTTTACAGAGCTTTTGCGGTCCTTAATAAAATACCAGAATTTTTTAGGGCCCTCTTTGATGAAGTTTTGTAACTTGACAGTAAAATAAAAATTCTTGGCACTTCAATAGCTTCGGAGAGGGAGTTATGAATTTCCCTGAGAATGTTAGCGGGAGCACCTTTTTTCCGATAGCGCTTCGCTTTACGCTTCATTTGTATTATTGGCCTTGTGATCCATGGTGTGAACTTTGGGGTTTTTTTTGTTTAGTTTGGTACAAACCGTTCAATGCAGTGGAAGCATAGTTTCTTAAACTTATCCCAGAGAACAGCAGCGTCGTCGCCATCAAAATTCACCAATTCAAATTCAAGATAGTCTTGGATGCTCGTATCATTAGCACGGGAAAAATTTTTGACCTGTTTAGAGTTAGGTGAGCTATTGGAGCATTACAATGCAAAGGAAAAGAAACTGTGACCATGTCGTGATCAGATAAGCCGGGTTCAACACAAACACAGCAATCAAGAATAGTGCGATGCATGAACACAAGATCTAGTAACGTGGACGAAGCAGTACCAACACGTGTCGGTTGCTGAACAATTTGGGCGAGATTGTGGGAAAGCATTATATCGAACAGTATATTTGCATTAATCAAATCTGATGTCGACTGCATTTGGTTCCAGTCAATATTAGGCAGATTGAAGTCGCCGATGGCAATTAGTTTTTTATTACTGTAATTTTCTATATGGGTTTTCAAGTTAAACAAATAATCCGGCAGCGAATTCGGCGGCCTGCACACTGCATACAATACAAAAGACTTATTGAAGAGTGAAAGCCTCAGGCATATGCTTTCTGTGCTTTCAACGTCAGGTAAACGGGTGACAGTAATTCCTGTTTTAACAAGTACTGCAACTCCACCACCTCTTGAGGCCCTATCTCTGCGGTACATTTCATAAGCTGGAGGCACTGAGTCTTGGTCACACAATTCGCTGTGGAGCCACCTTTCCGTTATTACAACTACATGAGGGTTGTATGCTAAGAGTACAGCCTCAAGTTGTTCGGTTTTATTTCCGATGCTTCGAGCATTTATATTAATCAGTCTAACTTGCTTCTGCGCAGCTAATCAACACTTGCTACCCGTACTTTCGTTATCGGGTGCACTGCCGATAGACTGAGGCGATGCCGTGGCACTCCGACGGCTTCCAATTAACTGACGTTTGTTAGTTACGTCATTCCAAATAAACAGATCATCACCTACGCGTAACTTATTATGCACCAAAAATGCCTTCTTGCCTTGTTCTTTGTCGGCTTTTGCACTTTCTCACAGTAATTTACGTTTTGCCAACGTCTGCATTGAGTAGTCGTTCTGAACAAAGATGTTAGTTCCCTTTAGGTTGCTCGCCTTTTTCAGCACAGCTAGCTTTTCGGTGAAGTCCTGAAGATACAAGATAATCGGCCTATTCGAGCCTGATCTTTCAAGCCTATGAATCCGGGCAACAGAAGTGCATTTAACGCCGAGCTTGCTGTGAAACGTTTCAGAGACGACTTTCTCTTTAAGATCAGATTCAGTTTCTTCCGGCTGTTCTGGGATACCAAAAACAATCAAGTTTGAACGTCTGCCTCGATCTTCAAGATCCGTTAGCTTTCGGGCCTGGAAATTCATTGAGTTTGTGTAGACCTTACGAAGGTTGTCTCGATCTTCAAGATCCGTTAGCTTTCGGGCCTGGAAATTCATTGAGTTTGTGTAGACCTTACGAAGGTTGTCCAGGTCATCTAATTTTGAATTTTTAATAGTTTTCATTTCAGCCACATGGGTCTCGATTTCTGAAAGACGCCGTGTAAGCTCTGCTAACATGTTTTTTGTTTTACTTGTAAGGTCTGCTACCTCACTACGGAGAGCTTTTTGACCCTCTAAAAGTTTAGCCAGCATGTCTTGGTTGGTAGGTCCGGGGTTTTGTTCGACATCACCACCTTTGATGTCTCATCATTTGATGAGACATCAAAGATTTTGGCCTAATAAGTATCCCGGGTTTGATGTCCTGGAACCACGATATGATTACGCTGGAGGCAAGCCGTAGTTGAGAGCTCCACAATTTTCGACCTGTGTTCTTTAGTAGCAGGGACGTCGCTAAGTACACGCACTTTCATCATGTCGCCTCCACGGATACTCGACCGCAATCTAAACTGTGACCTTCGAGTCAGCTGCCGGAAACAGGAGCCGGTGTAAGAGCGCGGCCGACGTGACGGATTCTTTAGCGATATGTGTCTATCGAATCATCTTTACACGACTGCTGTCGCCGCGGCGTCACTTGTAAGGAAACAGCCGACCCACCTCTCAAGCTCCCAAGCTTCTGCCGCGGCAGGTCCCGAAAAGCGGTGGAAGATGGTCGGTCCCAGGCCCGCAGCCATGACCCTCGTTCAGGACCGGCATGCTTTCTGCCACAAGTACAGTACCGGTAAATGCTACGCGCTCCCACTGTTGCCGACCAAAAGAGTGGTGAGAGATGCCACCGTGCCGACACTTGCGGCGGAAAACATGGCGATGCCAGCACCAGCCATTGCAATGTCGAGGCAGGTGAGAGAATCGGCTGGTATAGTAGGCGGATTGCGGAAGCAGTCCTCTTCAAGGTGAATGGCCAAGTGGTCTCGACGATCGCAGGAGTTTACAACGGTCGATCGCTCATTCGGTAACGCGTCGCGCTTGCCCCT